TGCAATTTATTCAACTATTTGGGGAAACTACTTGGCAGTTATCTAGTAAAGCAGATCAATTTCATTTCCTATGACTCAGCAATTACGCTCCTAGCCAGAACCCCCTGTGGAAAAGTTTACACTCAAGTGGAACAAAAGGAAAAAACAAGAAGAACCCTGATAGCCGTATTCACTGCAATACTAATATCGGGATTTTGAAAATACCCAATTCTCCTTTAACAATAGGATGAACAAACTGTGATTATATATATATATATATATATATATATATATATATATATATATGCATGCTGTAGAACACTGCCTGGCAATAACAATGGATGAACTACAGCTACTTTAAAAACAGATCAGTTCACCAACATAATGTTATGCAAAAACAAACAAATCCCCAAAAACCCAAAACCCAAGCAGTCAAACATGAATTCTTACATTTATATCCAGTATAAAAATGGGTAAAACTATCATGTGGTGTCAGAATAAGGCATGGTGGTTTCCTTTGGGGAAGGGGAGAGGACAGTAAACGGAGGACATGACAGGGACCTGAGTAGTACTTGGTGATGTTCAATTTCTTGATCTGACTGGTAGTTATAAGGAAGTATTCACTTTACAAAAGTGCACAGCCACATACTTTTCTGTAGGTATAGTACAAAAGATTTTTTAGCAAAGAAGAGGTAAAGTTTTAAAAAAGAATAAATTATGAGAACAGAAAACAGATCAGTAGTTGCCAGGAGCTGGGTGGGGATGGAGGGAGAAGATGATTACAAAAAAGGGTAAGAAGGATCAGCTGGGCGCAGTGGCTCACATCTGTAATATTGGCACTTTGGGAGGCCAACATGGGAGAATCGCTTGAGTCCAGGAGTTCGAGACCAACCTGGGCAACATAGTAAGACCCTGTCTCTATGAAAACTAAAAAACAAAATGAGCTGGGCATGGTGGCACCCAACTGTAGTCGCAGCTACTTGAGATGCTGAGGTGGAAGGATTGCTTGAGCCCAGGAGGTTGGAGCTGCAGTGAACCAAGATTGCAGCACTGCATTCCAGCCTGGGTGACAGAGCGACACCCTGTCTGAAAACAGAACAAAACAAAACAAAACAGAACAAAAGGATAAAAAGGAATTTTGAGGGGGCTGATGGAATTGTTCTATATCTTGATTATGATGTAGTAGGCTGCACTACTATAAGCATTTGCTAGAAGTCATAGAACTGTACACCAAAAAGAGTGAATTTTGCTGTATGTAAGCTATCCCTCAATAATATATACTTGTGACATAAAAGAAAATGACTTAATTTGGCATCTTTTTATGTTTGTAGGAAGTGAATGATCTGTGGTGCTACAATCTGCTTTTTTTTCATTGATTAGATTAGAAAGAAAATTAAATGGTCCACCTGCGAAATATTTTCTTACCCTTGTATACACAGAAAGTTGTAAAATTAAGATGAGGAAAATTCTGGGAAAACAAATAATGTTATTCATTTTCGTTTTATGATATTCACTTCTGATTTTGGGAAAAACAGACTTTAACTAATATACATCTATTTTTCAACCAAATATTGAAAGAATATATATGTTGTGCTTGATACTCACTTATGGTATAACAGAAAAACTGTAACAAGCTCTGGGTTATTTCTTTGCATATTTATTCATAAAAACATTTGAGACAAATTAATGATAGGGCATAATTTTTTAAAATTGAGGTTGGTACAACAGTAATTGCAGTACTTTTAAAGGAAAAAACCACAATTACTTTTGCATCAACCTAACAGAAACAAAGTAGAAAATTTTCATTTAAATTTCAACTTTCTCTTTAGGCTTATTTTACATTTGCCCATATTCAGCCAATGAATCTAGAAAGTAGATATTTGTTTTGAGACCCTTAATTTCTGGGGCATTCTGGGAAACACTTTGCCTTTACTTGATTTCAAACTTATTCACATTCATTGTGAGTCATCTTATTCTACCGTATCTGTGAACATGAAAGAATAAAATCAAATTGAGGTTTGTTGTGAAAAAACTGAAAAAAAAAAATAGGTAGAAAGATAGATAGCATCCAATCTATCCAACAGAAAAGTAGGAAAACTAGGGGGATCCCAATCAATAACAAATTATGAAAAGGGTCTCTTAAAAAGTCGGGTAAAAATGAAGCCTCATTTATACATATGTATTTAAATATTACCTTATTTTGAAACATCCGAAAGCTTATCTTATACATACAGGTAAATACTAGATACTAATTAAAATTCCCGTCTCCCACAACAAAAAAAGAGAATTTTAGACCAATATCCCTGATGAACATCGATGCAAAAATCCTCAATAAAATACTGGCAAACCGAATCCTGCAGCACATCAAAAAGCTTATTCACCATGATCAAGTGGGCTTCATCCCTGGGATGCAAGGCTGGTTCAACATACACAAATCAATAAACGTAATCCAGCATATAAACAGAACCAAAGACAAAAACCACATGATTATCTCAATAGATGCAGAAAAGGCCTTTGACAAAATTCAACAGCCCTTCATGCTAAAAACTCTCAGTAAATTTGGTATTGATGGAACGTATCTCAAAATAATAAGAGCTTTTTATAACAAACCCACAGCCAATATCATACTGAATGGGCAAAAACTGGAAGCATTCCCTTTGAAAACTGGCACAAGACAGGGATGCCCTCTCTCACCACTCCTATTCAATATAGTGTTGGAAGTTCTGGCTAGGGCAGTCAGGCAAGAGAAAGAAATCAAGGGTATTCAGTTAGGAAAAGAAGAAGTCAAATTGTCCCTGTTTGCAGATGACATGATTGTATATTTAGAAAACCCCATCATCTCAGCCCAAAATCTCCTTAAGCTGATAAGAAACTTCAGCAAAGTCTCAGGATACAAAATTAATGTGCAAAAATCACAAGCATTCTTATACATCAGTAACAGACAAACAGAGAGCCAAATCATGAATGAACTTCCATTCACAATTGCTTCAAAGAGAATAAAACACCAAGGAATCCAACTTACAAGGGATGTAAAGGACCTCTTCAAGGAGAACCAGACACCACTGCTCAGTGAAATAAAAGAGGACACAAACAAATGGAAGAACATACCATGCTCATGGATAGGAAGAATCAATATCATGAAAATGGCCATGCTGCCCAAGGTAATTTATAGATTCAATGCCATCCCATCAAGCTACCAAGGAGTTTCTTCACAGACTTGGAAAAAACTGCTTTAAAGTTCATATGGAACCAATAAAGAGCCCACATTGCCAAGACAACCCTAAGTCAAACGAACAAAGTTGGAGGCATCACGCTACCTGACTTCAAACTATACTACAAGGCTACAGTAACCAAAACAGCAAAGTACTGGTACCAAAACAGAGATATAGACTAATGGAACAGAACAGAGTCCTCAGAAATAATACCACACATCTACAGCCATCTGATCTTTGACAAACCTGACAAAAACAAGAAATGGGGAAAAGATTCCCTATTTAATAAATGGTGCTGGGAAAATTGGCTAGCCATAAGTAGAAAGCTGAAACTGGATCCTTTCTTTACTCCTTATACAAAAATTAATTCAAGATGGATTAGAGACTTAAATGTTAGACCTAATACCATAAAAACCCTAGAAGAAAACCTAGGTAATACCATTCAGGACATAGGCATGGGCAAGGACTTCATGTCTAAAACACCAAAAGCAATGGCAACAAAAGCCAAAATTGACAAATGGGTTCTAATTAAACTAAAGAGCTTCTGCACAGCAAAAGAAACTACCATCAGAGTGAACAGGCAACCTACAAAATGGGAGAAAATTTTTACAATCTACCCATCTGACAAAGGGCTAATATCAAGAATCTACAAAGAACTTAAACAAATTTACAAGAAAAAGTCAAACGATCCCATCAAAAAGCGGGCAAAGGATATGAACAGACATTTCTCAAAAGAAGACATTTATGTAGCCAACAGACACATGAAAAAATGCTCATCATCACTGGCCATCAGGGAAATGCAAATCAAAACCACAATGAGATACCATCTCACACCAGTTAGAATGGTAATCATTAAAAAGTCAGGAAACAACAGGTGCTGGAGAGGATGTGGAGAAATAGGAACACTTTTACACTGTTGGTGGGATTGTAAACTAGTTCAACCATTATGGAAAACAGTATGGCGATTCCTCAAGGATCCAGAACTAGAAGTACCATATGACCCAGCCATCCCATTACTGGGTATATACCCAAAGGATTACAAATCATGCTGCTATAAAGACACATGCACACGTATGTTCATTGTGGCACTATTCACAATAGCAAAGACTTGGAATCTACCCAAATGTCCATCAGTGACAGACTGGATTAAGAAAATGTGGCACATATACACCATGGAATACTATGCAGCCATAAAAAAGGATGAGTTTGTGTCCTTTGTAGGGACATGGATGCAGCTGGAAACCATCATTCTCAGCAAACTACCGCAAGGACAGAAAACCAAACACTGCATGTTCTCACTCATTGGTGGGAACTGAACAATGAGATCACTTGGACTTGGGAAGGGGAACATCACACACCAGGGCCTATTACGGGGAGTGGGGAGCGGGGAGGGATTGCATTCTGAGTTTTACCTGATGTAAATGACGAGTTGATGGGTGCAGCACACCAACATGGCACAAGTATACATATGTAACAAACCTGCACGTTATGCACATGTACCCTAGAACTTAAAGTATAATAATAATAATTAAAAAAAAAAAAGAAATTTATACTAGAAAAAAAAAATTCCTGTCTCCCCAAGTCATCTGAATTTTACTGTTCAAAAGAAGAAAAAAGTGATTATATTTTAGTTGCCTAAGGTCATTTACCTCATCCATGGAACCCTGGCCCCTGACCCCAACTTGGAAATCTCTTCATATTTTGTAATTTAAGGGTTATAAAATGAGCAAGTTGGGTGAAGGTAGGCAACACTGCTGCATTTTTATAGCTACTGGCAAAAAACAATACCTTATAAGAAAAAGATCTTACCACTTGTGCTGGAACTTGTTCCATTTTTGCAGCAGGAGTTCCTGGTCTTGGGTAAAACTGATTAATAAAGAGGCTTGGGAATTTGTACTCTTCAACAAGTTTCACTGTTTCTTGAAAATCCTGATCTGTTTCTCCAGGAAAACCACAGATAATATCTGTAGCAATAGTTATTCCAGGAACTCTAGAAAATAACAAGACAAAAATGTAAAAACTTGACTATAAGCCATAATTATTCTATTTCCCTGATATTTTAAATACAATTTTCATGGTAATTAAAATTTACTTGTATAAAAAGTACACGTGCAAATAGTTTTAAAGAGTCCTAAATGCCAAAAGTTTAAAATGAAAAACAGTGGCTGCCTGCCATTCCCAGGGAAACCCATCTTAAATTCTTTTAAATGGTTCTTTGTTCTTTCCTTTATATTTAAAAACAGATGCCAATTCTGCCATTTCTAGATTTACTAATTTTTAGGCAATAAGTTACTAACTTCTCTATTATGGTAAATGAGGCTTTAACTCTTGAACTACTCTATCCCTAACTTCCCAAATAAATCAATGAACAACCCCTAGTTAAATCAGTAACACAGTACTTCCATTGGTACAACTGCAAAGATAACTTTCACTATAGAGCCAACTAGTATACTATTCAGTTTTGTTTTTCCACAATGTGTAATTTTTCCTAGAGTTAATAATTGCTTCTCTTTTTTAAAACATTAGCTTAATGTTTTAAATACCTATGCTGATGTTTTCCAGACTCCATTAGGCCTATCAAAACCCAATACTGTTTTCTAAACCTTCTATATATTGTATCGAAATGCCATTCCTTTCAGGTGTGTGTTGCTTTTATAGTGAACTGGCTATCATCCTTGAATGTTGCTTCTTGGTATCCTTTTTTCAATAATCTTTTTTTCCCGGATCCTATGTCTTCTTAATTCTTGATTAACTCCCTCATTCTGCAGTGGTGTGCTTTCTTTCAGAAGCTTCATCAGAAAGATACCAGGGAAATTTTGTTGTTGTCTTTGCATGCGTGGTCTTAGGCCATACAACTGACCAACATTTGGTTGTGTGTAGCACTCCAAGTCAAAAACTATTATCCATAAAAATTTTGCATTGTTCCTCTTTTTTTAAGCTGAAAAAATTGCTAATGGGATGTCCAGATTAACTTGGATGCACACTTCTTTAAATGTGCCAGCACCATTCTCTTTTTAGAAGTTTTTATTAACTTTACGCTCAGTGTGATAACATGCCTTGGATTGGGTCTTTAAATCTTTGTACAAGGTATAGTCTGGAGACTCATGGGCTTTAGGTTGAGGAAGTTTTCTGATATTATTTCTTTAATAATTTTTCTCTCAGGGAATCCTCTCTTTTGAATATTGAAACCACTGGGTTGATCTCTTAGCTTTTTCTCTCTTTCATCTCTGCCCTTCTATTTTCTGGAAAGTTTACTTCAGCATACCTTCCAACTATTTTATTGCAAAAAAAATTAATTCAGTATTACTATTTACATTTCTCAGAGCTCTTTCTCTAATTTTCCTTTTCACAGCATCCTGTTTAGGGATGCAGTATCTTTTCTTATTTATCTGAGGATGTCAATTAAAGGTTTTTGTAATTTTTCTTCTGTTCACTGCGAGTTGTCTTTTGGTTTCTCTCATTCATGGTTGAGACTTTCTACCAATAAAGAACAATTCTTGCTGTCCTTTCATATTTAAGAGCAAAGCACTAAAATCTTTTTGCCATTGAGTGATTAGGTAGCAAGCTGCCTTTATTTTTGATAGGCCCAAATGTTGGCACCTTGGAAGTCATTTCTTTGTGGCCATTTAATGCCTCCATAAATATGGCACAGACATTGCTCTATTTTAATAGTATAACAATAACAGAATTACATTAACTTATCTAAAAATCCAGTATTACTCCGAGTCCATAAACAATAGGGAAAATGGCTCCAAACGTCAAATCATAGAATATCAACTTTCCTATCATTTAAACAGGCCGGATGCAGTGGATCACACCTGTAATCCCAGAACTCTGGGAAGCCATGGTGGGTGGATCACCTGAGGTCAGGAGTTTGAGACCAGCCTGGCCAACAGGGTGAAACCCTGTCTCTACTAAAAATACAAAAATTAGCTGGGTGTGGTGGCAGGTGCCTGCAATCCCAGCTATTTGGGAGGCTGAGGCAGGAGAATCGCTTGAACCCAGGAGGTGGAGGTTGCAGTGACCCGAAATCATGCCATTGCACTCCAGCCTGGGTGACAGAACAAGACTTCGTCTCAAAAAACAAACAAAAAAACCCAGTTCTACAAGAAAGAATGGAAACAGTTTATCAAATTAAGATATACGAGATATTTGGGGGCATAAGAGGGAACAAGGGATATACCCATGAGGATAGTAAAATTATTATATTCCTAATATAGTTTCATAAAAACAACAGCTTTCCATATTTTCTTCACACACTACTTAGCACCTAGTGTGAAAGAAGCATGACAAATCTATTTTGTAAAATATTTTGTTCCTAATTTATTATTGGTCTCACCTAGTTATTTACTGGGTTGAACTTCAGTTAATAAGATAAATTCCAAGGACTTTTCTCCATGATGATAAATAGAAAAAGAGACAATATTCACGCAGAAGAATAAAACAGTATATTTGAATAAAAATTTAAATTTTTATTGTGATATAAACATATTTTTCTTCTTTAAAGGTAATCATCAAAATTACATTTGAAAAATCACAAACATCGTATGATTTTACATGTAAGCTATAGATAAAAAGACCATTTTTGTAGAGTAAAACATGTAGAATAGCTTTTCGGCTAGCTAGTTTTATACTTGCTTATTCAATAATTCTGATCAAAAGATCTACAACTAAAAATTAATGGATCACAGCAGATCATAACAGAGAATAGTCCATCTCTCCTAGAAAATTTTTAAAAATAAATCATAGAAACTGCAAGGGAAATGCTGTAAAAACAAAGGTTATTGTCCTCAGCTATGAATTAGAGTAAGTTTGGCACTGGATTATGGGGTATTCCCACAGGAAAGTACCTTACTGATTTTTCCTCTATCCTCCTTGATACATTATGGTGGAACCCAGTGTTATGCAACACCTGCTTACTTTGGCCTTAAGGGCCATAGTGACAAAAAAGAAACCTCTAAAGAAGTCATAGTAAATGTTAGGGAAAGGGATTTTCAATGCATGGATATATTTGGCAAGGTAAACAAAAAGTTGCCTGATAGCAAGGGAGGAGGCAGGCCACTGTGAATAGTAACTTATACGAGCCAATATTGAAAAGTAAAAGCAGTTTAATGGTTTCAAAGTATATAAGAATATGAACTGATTGCTTATAAAATGTTTTAAAAGCAGAGATTGCACTTTAATGTTAGATGAGGCTGATGTATACATTAATTTTATATATGCAAATGATCCTACTTACATTCTTGAAAATAATTTGACTCTTTAGGTGAACCAACTGCAATCTCATTTACACTGTTGATTTCCCCAGTAAACAATTCTCTTCAGTATGAGAAAATCAAAGAAATCTGAAGTGGAACAAATTCTAAATTACTAGTATATGATTTAAATGGTTAGGAGGAAATTATAAGGGGTGTAAAACAGAATATTAATTCAAATATTTAAGATGTTAATTCTGGGTAAAAGCTATTTTTGAGATGACATGCATTTTCAAAATACTAACAATTTTAAAATAATCATTTCCACAAACTTTTTAAGGTGTGAGTGTAATGTATGTAAATACTAAGTAATATGTTATTCAATTTTAGGAACTTTATGTATGTTTTCATACTAGTATTAGAAAATAATTCTGAAAGGAAGATGAAAATGAAAATGTTCATTTAGCTTAAATAACAGGAAAATTTTGGCCCGTTATTTTTTTCTGTCCTATATTTATTGGCAAAATGGGTTTATTAAAGAGCTTGGGAATGGAGTAAGAAAGATTCCAATTATGCATCTGACCTTGTCAGAAGCAGTGCTATGATTACTTGTAAAGATATATCAGGGACATGTAAGGAACAGGCAAACTATTTGTTGGCTGTAGCCTGGAATTTAAGAAAGCCATAAATATTTTAAAAGTTAATTATTTCACCTTGAATAAAAATACAAACACATACATACCCCACAATTTAAACATTCATCTCAAGATTTTTATTTTCCATTTGGTGTTTCACTGGCAAAAATATGGAAAAGAATAATTCTACTTTATTCTTTAGCTCAATAAATTATGAGCTTCAAATTCTACATGTGAATAAAGTAGGACTAATACACATACTAATTATCTCAAAAGACAAAGAGAAAAATGATCAGCAAAGGACTAGACCCATCAAAATTAGTAGACATAAACAAAACACATGATTAAAAGAAATAATTTTTATCCTGTGGAGGTTTATTATAGGACAAATATTCAATACTTTTGGGGAAAAAACGAGGTAGGTAGGGGAGAAAAATATCTTGAACTGAATGAAAATGAAATCATAACACATCTAAATATATGGTATACAACTAAAGCAGTGCTTAAAGAAAAATCTATAGATATTAATTTCTGTGTTAGATATAAAAATCTAAGCTTCCACTTCAAGAAGGTAACAAAGAGAAAAAATCAAATCAAAAGACAAAATAACAAAGGTAAAATAAGAAATCAATGAAATAGAAAATACAGAAAAATCAATAAAAGTAAAAAGTGCATCTTTGAAAAAAGTCAATACAATTAGTAATGTACTAGTTAGGCTGAGAAAAGAAAAGAAGATACAGATGTCCAGCTTTAGGCATGAAGGATGGGACATCACTACAGATGCTACCAACAGTAAAAGGATATTAAGAGAATATTATGAACCTTATGCCAATAAACTCACAACTTAGATAAAATGGGCAAAATCTTTGAAAGATATAAATTATGAAAATGGACTCAAGAAGAAACCAAAAACCTGAATATTCTTTTATCTATTACAAAAACTTGTAATTTAATACCTCGTCACCCAAACAAAACTACACAAAACAAAACCACCGAAGACTAAATGGTTTCATGGTGAATTCTACCAAACATTTAAAGAATGATAAAATCAATTCTATGGAAACTATTTCAAAGATAGATGAGAAAGAAACTCATTTAAGAGTCCAGCATTACCCTGTTATGAAAACCAGAGGAAGGCAAATACTGCATGTTCTCACTTA